TAGTCTTTATCTTAATTCTTTGACATCTTTTGCAGATCAAGTTGACTTACACTAGAGGTCACCAAGAACTTGTGTATATTACTTTATTATCTTTGCCTTTTATTAGGAAATATAATACAACTTCTGAAATGGAGTGAAAGCACCTTTTGTGCTTTCGCTTAGGAATGTTTAATTGTGTGCATATATGATATATGTATCCCTGAATGGAATAGTAGTGACATTTAAATCAGACCCAGAAAAAGTGAGCAAATAGTTGGGGCCATAAAGCCTCCCAAGGGCCATGAACCCGGCTTGGCTTTATTTATTTTGCATTTTTTCAAGGCCACCCAACTCTACAAAGACTCTGGGTGGTGTACAGTACAGGTGGTCTTCAGATTTTGACCAGTCATTCAGTGCTTGTTTAAAGGTATAACAGTGCTGAACAAGTGTAGTTATGTTTGGTTCTGAGAATTCTGCCCATCACAGAATCATGGTCACGTGATCATGACTTGGACAGTCAGTACCCATCTTCTGAGTACAACATCACAGTGCTCGTGATTTCCAATATTCCCTGCCACGAAGTTAAAAGTCATGATCACATGAGGCCCTCGCTTAGTGAACTGTGTGTTCCTCACTTATCAGTGACAGCCTGAACTTCTGGAATTCCCATTGTTAAGCAGTGCGGTCAAATCACATTGCACTTTATGACCAATTGTAAAGGCAATTCTAGTCCGAATTGCCAATGTAAACTAAGGATTACTTGTAAATCTGAACTAAAAAAATGGACAACATGTAATCAATATGACCTGGAGAGCATCCACTTTGCCTGAATGCATTGGATGGGCAGAAAAAAACAGTAGACACTCAGTCATCAGTTTCTGGGCCCTATGCCATGAAGAGCTTTGTAGATAATGATTGTACCTTAAATTATACCCAGAAGCCAATTGGTAACCAGTGCAATTTGCAGAGCGACCGTGACACATGGGCATAATGACAAGCACTTGTTATTGATTGCACTGCTGCATTTTGAAGCAGCTACAGGTGGTTTTCAACTAATGGCCATTTGGTCAGTGACTGTTATAGCAGTACTGAATGAAGGGATATACAGCTGCAGCACCCCTGTGATTTCATGATGAAAATAGGATGTATGGCAATTGCCTTCTCTTAACATTGACTTCAGGGATGCTGCAACTGCCCCCCCCCCCCTTTTCCCTCATCCCACCCTGCTGGATCTCTGAGTCTCCTTCCCATCTGGCTGTGCTCCACAGGACCTGGATCTGTTTCCCACCCATTTATGTCCCCTTCCTGCACTGCTGAGTCTGGATGGAAAGGGAACCCACTGAGGATTTGTGGGAACTGAGCTGAGGGAGAAGCAGACCCAAGGCCTGTGGGAACCGAGCTGGGCAGAAGATGTGCAATGAGTGCCTCAGGCAGTGAAGGAGATTGAGAATGACCTAAATTTTGGTTGAGAATGACCTAAATGAACTTAGAAAGTACGGCAGGCCTAGACGTGAAAAAAAGTGCAAGCCTGGGCCTGCGCCAAGTCTCCCAAGTCCTCCCCAACCCCTTGAGGCACTGGAAGTGATTAGGACATGAGTAATTTTTGAGTAGAGCTTCCTGATCTACAAATGGGTGCAATTGGCACACAACACAAAGCTGTGTGAAGTACCTGCCACCTGCTCTTCCAGCAGGAGTTGTGTGTCTAGGAAGTCCTCCATATTGTAGACCTGTATGGAGCAGTGCCACCCATCCAGCACCAAAGATAGTATGAGCCTAGAACCAGTGGACCCAAACCCAAAGCCACTTAGTCTTGCCAGGATTCAGCTGTAACTTGTTATTCTGCACAAGGATCCTCATAACCTCTAAACACTGAGAGACATGTTCTAGAATATTGCTTAATTTGCCAGGAACAGAGAAGTATAGTTGAGTACACTGGTGATATCTTACTCTATGGTGACAGATGAGCTCAACCGGTGGCTTCATGTAGTTGTTGCATTAAAGTGTAAACACCGACTGCTACAGCACCAGTAGGGGCAAAGAACGGATCCTCTTTTTCCCTTCACTACCAACTAGAATCGATCCTGGAGAAAGGAGGTAAACCAGCAAAACACTACTCCACATGCCCAATTATCTGAGTCAATCCAGAAGAATACCATGGTTGATGCTAAGGAAAGCTGCTAAGATGTCAAATAGGGCATGGATGGGTTGATGCTAATGAAAGCTACTAAGATGTCAAATAGGGCATGGATGGATGGATAACCTTCATCCCATTAGGTAAGATATCACCCAGGGGTGCCACAAGAACATATATTGGAAGGGGGGAATAGGCAGGTGGGGTAAATTAAAGCATTCCCGCGGTCCTAAGTGTGGATAGAATTTTGTTTATGTGATCATGGAACACTACCTAGAATATTTCATTTCTAAAATTCTTAATGGCTCCAAATATTTATGATATATGTGATCCTGTGAAATAAGCAACTGACATTTCAGAAAATAATAACAGACACCTTGAAACTTTATCATAATATTATGTTTAAAATGTAGCATGTAATTGACTATACTTATTTTATTATAAGGAAGCACAAGAGATTGGATTGATCTGGATTGGAACCAGTGTCAAGGAAGAAAGTGCAGTGACAAAGTATTAAATACCAGGCTGACTTCTATTAGAGAGTCAGATTTACATGGGTGTTAATATGAAACATCAGCTCCCTGCTGGTGTTGAGAAAACATGTGGTGTTTAGGAAGCCCAAAACTGTATTTGAATTAGGTTCTGTAGGTGAAGTTTCAGCATGGTCAAACAGAGTGCTCCACTGGTCCAGAGACTTGGCAATGTAGTCAGCATCTCCTATTTTATGTTGGACAGATCACTGCATATCTCAGGACGTTCCGGAGGCTAATTCATAATCACTGAAATGTGCACCATGTTAGAAATGAATATGATTTGTTAATGCAAATGAAAGAATGGAGAAAAATTTCTACCCTTGGTTGTTTGTATTTCCAAATTTTTCCTCTTTGCTCTTGGAGGGAGATACGGCAGGGGGGAATGTTGAATGAATGTTTATTTTATTTATATGCCGCCCTTTTCCCCTGAAGGGGACTCAGGGCGGCTCACAACTCAAACCAGGGAA